GTCAGTAATAAAATCAGTAAAATTGGGGTGGCTTAACCACATGGCTTGGAAACGGAACGGTGCAGAATCTCTGGTAGGTACGTTTCACATTAATCACTGCTTTCAGTGTCAATTCTTACAAAAGAAATAAAGATTGTTTATTTATTAAAAAAGAAGGGAAAGAAAGTCTTTGTGGGGGCAATTGGAAAGTGGGCCTGGAAATAGTATTATACGAAGGCCACCGGGAGTCCAGCAGTGGAGGTGCTTCTTTTGGTTGGCAATATTTGCTTAACTTTCTTAAACCCACCAAGGTCACACAAACAAAACAAAAACCGCAAAAACTAATAACATAAAATATCTAGGGAGGGGAGGGACGCGGCAATACACAATTGGCAAAAGCAGAGAAACAAAAACAAAAGGAGATTTGAATAAGACATGAAAATCTACTTTGCTGAGTGCTACTATTTATGTTGTGTCTTTTATAATGAGATGAATTTCTTTATAATTCTTTTGTTAAATAAAATTGGCTCTTTAAAACTGAGGAGCTCATTCGCAAAATAAATGGACTATGATCAAACTTGGAACCCATGGAGGTTACTGACCGACCCCATTGTTCCTTCCTGTGGTAATGTGACTGAAGTTCACATTACAAACATATATCAATGCTTTTTCATCTGAATTTCAAATTTCAAAGAAGATTTTCACCCTCTAAAATTGCGTCACGTGTCATCCTTCCAAACTCTTTATTGAGAATTTTCCACCTACTAGACAATGCCATTTTCGTACGGGTCGAACCCGATCTTTCACAAAATTCGGAATGAATTTTTTTCCACATTTGAAAATTTTTTATCTCATTGCCCGTGACGGGACAATGAGAAATTTGGACCCAGCACTTACACAATATCTTCTATAGTGCTCCATGCCCCAACACCGTCAATAGAAGAAGCCATAAAGATGATAAAGAAAAATAAAACTTGAAAGTGAATAAAGTGTTGAGTAAAAAGTAAATAATAGTAGAAGTAGAAGAAAATGTATGAGGATTTGGTGTTGAAAGTGAAGAGTAGTGGTAGGTATTTATAGAAAAAAATTACAGTATTTTTGTGTATTTTTTTAAAAAAAATTCATATTTTTTTTCAATTTTTTATAGCAAAAATATTGGCTGCCTTTGGATTGGAGAGAGAGAGGAGATCGAAAAGCCCAGATTGCGCCAGCTGTCCCAGAGCCGTTGGGCGCGCGCAGGGCTGACGGCATCGATGACGTCAGCACGCGCAACTCAAATTTTTTTACCGTTGGCGTGTGCAATGCCGTCAACTCCCCGAAGTTTTGGACCTGGGGCTGGATCTGCCCTCGAGCCAGCCCGACTTCCTGGACCCCACCACCAACTCGAGCCAAACCTTGCTGCTGGAGGCCCTTTTTCTCCCAAACCCCCCTTGCCTCAGTCCAAACCTTATTGATGGACTTGCTCTTAGTCAAGTTTGTTAAAACAGATATATTCCCCCTCTTTACCCGAGTTCGAATCCACCTCCTTCGTGATTTGGAACTGAAATAAAGAGCGTGGAAGTGATGGTTGAGGGACTTGAGCGTTTTCAAAGAAACCGGTTCGAAGTTTGAGAGCTTCCTTCCTTCCCACTTTCATTCAAGTTTGAGTATCGCCTGAGTCTCCGAGATGCTGAAGATGATGACGGCAACTGCATCTTCTAATGGCAGCAAACGTATGCCTTCTCTTCACTCTACTGTTGTTGTTCTCTTCAACAATTACTCAGCCTTGTTTCATTTTCAACCCTCAAATTCGAAGCCAAATAAATCTAGAAACACCCAGCCAAAGCAGTTTGGTGTGAGAGACCCAACCACTGTCGCAAATCTTGAGCATGCTTTCAATGTGTTCGATGAAATGCTTCACAAGCGTCCTTTGCCTTCGGTTTTCCGTTTCAATCAAATCTTGGGACAAGTTGCGAAATTGAAACATCATTCGGCCGGCATCTCCATGTATAACCAAATGGGTTTGTCGGGAGTTGGACCTAGTGTTTGTACTCTAACTATTGTCATTAATTGCTATTGTCATCTCAACCGAATGGGGTTTAGTTTTTCTGTCTTGGGACAACTCTTTAAATCTGGGTTTGAACCAAGTGTCTGTACGTTCAACACTCTAATGAACGGCTCTCTTACCGAGAATAGAGTGGCTGAGGCTGCAGAAATTTTCAACAAAATGATGAAGACAGGTAATTGTAAGCCTAGTGTGGTTACTTTCGGTACACTAATAAAGGGTTTCTGTAGAATGGGTAACAACAATGCAGCTATCCAATTGCTGAGGAAGATGGAGGAAGGAGCTTGCAACCCTGACCTAGTCATCTATAACACGATCATAGACAGTCTTTGTAAGGATACACTAATTGTGGATGCATTGAACCTCTTCTCTGAAATGATGAGCAACGGTATTTCCCCAAATGTCATCACCTATACATCCTTGATTCATGGGGTTTGCAGATTAGGCAAGTGGAAAGCAGCTACAAGGTTGTTGAATGAAATGGTGTGTAGAAATATCTCTCCAGATGTGCACACCTTCAGTATCTTGGTAGACGCACTTTGTAAGGAGGGGATGGCTGAGGAAGCGCAAACTGTGGTCGAAATGATGATTGAAAGAGATATTGAACCTAATACAGTTACGTACAATTCACTTATGGATGGTTACTGTTTACGAGGAGAAATGGACAAGGCGAAAAAGGTTTTTGAACTAATGCTTTGCAAGGACTCCATGACTGATGTTCGTAGTTATACCACATTGATAAATGGATATTGTAAACGTAAAATGATGGATGAGGCCATGATGATTTTCTTGGAAATGTCTCGTAGAGGATTGGTTTCTGATACCGTTACATATACCACTCTTATACATGGTTTCTGCAAACTAGGGAGAATACATGATGCCGTTCCTCTATTTTGCAGGTCACGCTCCCTTCCGAGGCACCAGGTACCGAAGGCATCATAATTACTAAGTTGACCCTCTAAGTCGCAAGACCACTTTTTGGAGTCAACAGTTTGGCGCCGTCTGTGGGAACCGATAAACAATCGACCCTTTATCCCAACAAAATGGGAACCACATCGAAAGCTACGTTCCTAACGCAAGAAGGGATACCGTTCGGCAGAGAAGTTGGAGCTAGCCCCGCACCATCCCCTATCACGCCAGCCGGTAATCCGTCTGTAGGCCGAACCGCTGCCAAAGCTGAGCTGCTCGCTCAGGTCACGACCCTTCGGCAGGACATGGTCATGCTACAGGAACACAACAACCTCCTCTCATCCAGAGTGAACGAAACACAACAGCTGCTTAACTAGCAGCATACTCAAAATATTCAGACCAGGCATACTTCTCAGAGCCTGCAGACTCCCCATCGGCAGAGAAGGGGAAAGGAGGTGGCAAAGGCAACGCCTGCGCCCTCCAAACAATTGGTAGTCCCAGCGCCGAGAGATAGGCCCCATGTGCCGAAGAAGGTTTACTCCGATTGCCGCCACAGGCTCTTGGAGCGAGAAAACGAACGGCAGAAATCGCCAATCAGGATCAATGCGAACCTCAGCGACCCGCGAATGGGGGCAATGAGGGACAAGTCCCCCATACGAAGGATACAAGGCATAGAGTCAACGGCAGAAACTGACCGCGCGTATGAGCCTTCCACCGAACAGTCGTCATCCTACCGATCGGAAACCCATACGAGGTGCTCCGAGGTGAA